TTCAGCTGGTTGTGGCATGGGTGAGGTGCAGAGGGGGGCTGGGAGGGGGCCGAGCGGGGGGTGGGGGCGGACCTGAGGGGGGCTGGCTGTGATTGGCTGTGAAGGACCTGGAAGTGCAGGTCAGGCTGAGAAAGCTGCAGCATACGTCCGTGCTTCGCGAATGCTCGCTCTTCGCCTCAACCAGACTTGCCAAGGCGGTCTCGCGTTAGCAACTAACTTATCCCAAACTTGAGGATTGGCCCTGAAACAGGCAAGACTGTGGCTTCAACAGGGATTTGAGGACTGCTTGTGAAGCAGCGCGCAACAAGCTTGAGGCCCGGCAGCGTCTGCACAGCAGAGCCACAGTACTAAGCTAGGGAATGCCACGGCCACCCCTACATGTGATGAGCTAACCATGACACAGCGGCTGCCAAGCAGAATCAAATTCGGATTTAGGGAATGCGCTGTAGCTTGAAAGAATCATCTCCCCGCACTCTTGCGTACAGCATCTTCAAGTCTGCGAGAAGCTGAAGCACCAAGCACTGTCAACAATGTGAAGCTTGGACAAGATTTGTGACCTCCGTGACACGGTTAGCTCAGGCAGGCGCGAACGCCTCACATGTTGCACGCGTTTTTATTTCAGCTTGACTAGCCTGTACCCCACGTAGCGGAGATGTCGTGGAGACCCACGCCCCACCCAGCTGCTTGTTGGCAAGCGGCCCTGAACATCTTATACACTCCAATGACAACCGGTCTGGGCAGTCTTCAATTTCTAAACACGCTGCACCGCAAACTGCAGCTGGGGTAATGCCGCTTGGCACTTGCCAAGATAAAAGTCTAGCAGCCGAGATAATGATGGCCAACTGTGGTCCAGGATTCCATGCGGGAGTCTTTGTGCAACGCCTGCTGCCTTGAGTGGCGCCCTTGCATCCTCAACACACATGCATGCCAAGCACGGGAATCCAGGACTCGAGATGGCACTGGCTTCGTAGCCCGGTCGATCCGATGTGCGAGCTCTTTGCTCGCGGGAAAACTAGGACGAACCTGTTGAAAAAGTTGTGCACCGCATGACATCGCTCTGCACCTCTGAGCGGCCCGCGAGGGTCGCCGTGACTGTGACATGACTAGACATTACTAGTAACTATGCTACAGGGCGCGCTGTAGACTCCGTCACGCTGACGGAAGGAGTTGCTCTCAGTACTCTGCATTTGCCCTCGTGCGATCCGTTTCTCTCAGCGTCTGCTGCATCGAAGACAGCTTACACCTGCCCAAAGCTTGCAGGAGGCGTTGCTGCGTGAGTCGGATTACACGTCCTGCAGCTTCAACCGCTTGAGCTCGCCTAGACATACCTAGACTGTTACATGATCACCGAGTCTTTCACTCCATATCTTTTATGCAAACATCTGAACCTTGCCACCTTCCCTGATTTGAGGGCATGAACGGCCGTGCCTGAGGCTTTCCATCCTGCATCAGGTCATGGACAACGCAGGCAGAAGCCTGGACATGACTGCAGGATCGTTCTGCCTCAACTTCTGCTTCTCAAGGATGTGGCCGCCAAAATCCTGTTCACCAGCAAGCGTGGGCTACATAGTGTCCCCTTAGCTAGATCAGAACATCCTTAAGGTAGTCCAAGGCGGGGCTCTCTTGCAAAGCCTGCTGAACAGGTCGTACACTCGAAGCAGCTTCCTGAGCAAGTTGAATGCCAAGCTGAGCTCGGGACTCTTCTCAGATGCTCTTCCTGGTAGAGCCGCGCCATCATCGCCTGAAAACTGACATGTCAAATCAGTTCAAGGCATCAAGCTCGGGCTACAGGATCCCCTAATAATAGCAAGTACGAATACGACGAATGATATCAAGAACAATAGAAATAATAACAATACTAGTATGTAATAGCAATAACAATACCTGAGGAGGACTTCAAGCCAGTGAGCCCAGAGGTCTTTTGCGAGTGCCAGGCCTTCAGCCTTGGCCGGCAGAAGTGGATGGCATCGACGTGGATTCCCTTGAAGAATTTGAGGCACAGCTCCTACGAGTGTGAT